ATGACAAAGGAGCTTGAGAAAATGGAAGATTGGAAAGTTTAAAAAAAAGTTTATAGCAACATGTAAAGTCATGAAAACTTGAAAAAGTTTGAATATTCAAAAAATAAAAAAAATCAAGAAGTTTCAATTATGGAAAGCTCAAAAAATCTAATTATATAAAAATGGAAAAGAAATTGCGAAATAGAAAAGTTAAAAATTTTGAAAATATGTAAAAGTGGAAAGAGTTAGAGAAATTGGAAGGTTTGAAATATAAATATCTAAAAATGACATTTGAAAATGCAGAAAAGCCTATTTTATAGTTTAAAATGATGAAAACTTTTTCAAGATTAATACTTTTTCTATAAAATACAAAATTTGAAAATAGTTTGAAATTTTGGAAAGTTTAAAGCTAAATCATAAGAACTTGGAATGTTTGAAAAGTATGAGAAATTGGAACAATTGAAAGCTAAATGAAATGCAAAACAAGTCAACTATGTTAAAGTGAAAAAAAAAATGTTTAAGAAATTAAAAAGTTTGAAAATTATAGTCAAATGTCAAAAGAGTTCTGAGAAATTTGATGTTTGGAAATTTAAAAAACAAAGTTTGAGAAAACTTTTAAAGTAAACTTGAAAAAGTTTGAAAATAGGATAGTTTAAATTTTTTGAATATATGTAAAAATGGAAATAGTTTGAGAAATTGGAAAGTTTGGAATGTAAATATCTATCAAACCTACTTTTTATAACATTTAAATCGTTGAAAACTTTAGAAGATTAAAACTTTCTCTACGAAATATGAAAACTTGAAAATAGTTTGAAATTAGAAAGCATGAACAAATTGAAAATATGTGAAAGTGGAAAGAGTTTAAGAAATTGGAAATTTGAAAAAAAAAATGTAAGTACGTAAAATGGTATTGGAAAATGCTAAAAAGTCATTAAGGCGAATCGTTTGAAAAAACTTTTTAAAAGGTTTGAAAAGTCAAAATTTTGCATTTTGAAAAAAATGTAGTTTACAAATTTGTAAAAAAATATTTTAATCTTAAGCAAAACAGCTACCCTAAGATTTTACTATAGCTGCACTAATTATGTGTGCTAAAAAAGCCAACAAGCAGTTATCAACTTTGCATCATAAAGAATAGGTTATTAAATTAAAATACATAACCCATAAGGCCACAATGACGTGCTCACAGAAGCAGCACAATGTGATGGCTAACCAAAGTTTTTTAATCTCAAGCAAAACAACCATCCAAGATTTTACTTAAGTTGCACTAATTACGCTTGCTAAGAAAACCAACAAACAATTAACAAGTTTGCATCAGAAAGAATAAGCGAGTTAATTAAATACATTGCCAAGGAAGGTTTTTACATCTAAAGATGACAAGTTCAAGAAATTTGATGACAGTATGTTTCTAGCTATCAACATCAGAACATGATTTCAACAGAACTGAACAAAAATAAAAAAGTTATCTTCAATTAAAGGGTCAAGATGTTACCTTTCCCAACTTTGATTTTCTTCGAAGTACTTCCCCACCATGGATCCAGCGATGGGAACTTGAGGATGGGAGAATTTACCTGCATTGATCGATCAAGGATGTAAGCCGCAGAAATTTCCAATGTACCCATAAATAGTAAAAAAAATAAGATCGTTACCTTGAAATCGCTTGAGATCAGCTCCTCTCTCACCATGGATCGTCGAATCTTTGACGATTTAGGGCAGAAAACCCTCGATAGGCTCCTCTTCCGCCATGGATCGTCGAATCTTTGACGATTTAGGGCAGAAAACCCTCTGCTTGAGATAGGCTCCTCTTCCGCCTTGGATCGTCGAATCTTTAACGATTTAGGGCAGAAAACCCTGGATCTCCGCGAGAATTGAGAAGATAGGGGCACCGAAAAGCTAGAGTTTTTTTTTTCTTGGGAAGAATTTGGAAGAAGAAAAGGGAGAGGAGAGGCTCGCTTAGGGTTTCGGTTTTGGGGGAAGACGAGAGATACGAAGGCCCCGCTAATCCATTTAAGCCGGTTTAAGTCGGCGTCAAGATTAAGCTAAGTAACGGTCATAATTAGGGTAATTTTCTTCTCGATTAAGTCTTAAGTTAAACCTAACTATATTTGGACGTGATTGCCGGCTGTCAAAGTTTATGCCCACTGATACGTGGGTCCACGTATTTGCAATAGGAAAGCGCACTATTTTAACCAAAGCTAATGAGATTCGGACATGATTGCTAGTTTTCAAAGTTTATATCTTACTGACACAAGAGCCCACGTATTTGCAATAGTAAAAGCGCACCTAAATTGGTATATTATATATTTATGTGATAGACATGCAAGAAA